ACTTACTGACCAGAAAGTCCGTGGTTCGAACCCGACCGCCTCTCGACTTCCCCTGCCTAAGCTTGGGCGACCTGGTAGTATCACAGCCCTTGGGGTTTATTTTAGGAGACAACTATAATGACGTGATATTCGTTCATCTCTAGCACTCCTCCGGTGACCAGCTGTCATGCCAACAGAAGGAGACACGAGGTGTGGGATACTACCAGATTTCCAAGGCCTAGACAGAAATCGAAATGCTGAGGTTGGGTTTGAATCACGGATCTTCCGGTCAGTAATTTGTCGCCTTAACAACGCCTATCTCGAGCCGAATATTCCTATGGTTCCGCAAAACACAACCGTATAACCTCTGCTCCTTTCAGATGACCTCGTTTCGAAGTGCAATCTTCCTCGGTGTTTCCATAACTGTGATTAGTTACTTGTACAACCACTGCACCCAACTACCACCAGTCATGAGTGGTTCTAGTTCTTTTGAGTTCCGCCCAGTGGCACACACATACAAGTAAGCCCGTCCGTTTCCTACCAAAGGCTAATGGATGATCAGAGGTCTCCTTCAGTCTGGTCTTGAACAAGGCTCCTCCTTTGTCGTCTATCATGCCGATAATAATGTAGTCAATTTCCGCGGCGGTTATACGGATCTGCGTTTCCTCCTGCCATGGAGTTCGGAAACCGTCACACAGTCGTTCACCTTATCATTGCTCAGTGTTCCGTTCACTTTCGCCTTGTTACGCGAGAGGTTAGTTGCAGTAAATTTAAGCTTGAAATTGAACTAGACTGCTTATCAACCTCACCGATCCCCTAGCCAAGTACATACCTTCATTTTCTGTGCCGGACATTACTGTAAGTGACTTGCTGACTCATCAGGTATGTTTCCACCATTCCTAACATCGGATATTCAGTCTGGATTCCCGTATTTTTTGGATTTTGTCTCCCTCACCCAATGGGGAGAAAATTATCGTGCTGTATTGAAAAACATCACTCATCAGGTCCCCTCGGTTGCTCCGAGTAGGTCGTCGAAATTATTTCCTTTGACCTTTCTCGCGCATTCAGAAAAGCGTGTGATGCACCTACATTCATTGGCCTTATTGGCAGACGCTATTGTTCGAAAAGTGGATGCTCGTGAACGTTCACTGGGTCACTATTTCCTAGAAGAGGTCGTCTGGCCGCTTGGTAGGTACCGCGTTTTATTTTATTCGGTATGATGAACTAACTGCATACGTTTCGTTGAGCCGTTCCTGGCAGTTTAGTCAGGCATCTCATGTAAATGACGACAAGTCAGAGCCCGAGATGGCCACCGACCCAAAAAAAGTCAACTCTTACTACAGCAACTCACACATCTCGGAACACAATTGTTGCCCCTCTGTTTTTCTGATTACACTGGAATTTCATGTTTGGGCGATTGCAGCAAACATGTACCTGGACTCGACTTATACACTCATCTGCATACCAATTTGCTTTGGACGGGAGAATCACCTGGAATCCAGCTGAATCTCTTGGTTATGATATTCTCAACTGGCGTAAACTCGGGCACTGCGCTTATCGGACGAGCCCCAAGAAGGGCGAAACCGATCGTTGGCTGTCGAAGAGTTATCGACAGCCTCACGAGTAGTATATTACGTCTATATGATGCACCTGATTTTTTCATCCCGACGTATTCAGGGCGTGCGCAGTTGAGAGAAAACCAAAAAGAACGAAGTTTCATGGAAATCCTGGTTTTTCAGCTTCAGATTGGCTGTTGCACAACAGAAAACGACTGTTTTTTTGGGTTGGGAACACACGCGCGGCCAGAAAACGCCTAGAAATAAGAAAGATCGAGGTTTTCTTCAAAGAGCATGTACGCCACACATTAGTGCGCTCCTATCTGTTTAGAAGGATAATTATCGCGCTCGACATGGGCTGGATGAGAATTCACGGAAGCACACACTAGCACAGGGAAATGGGTGTTAACGTCTTCCGAGAAGTAGCACAGGGGGGTGTTAACATCTTCCGAGAACTTGGAACTTTTCGTTTCTAGTCGTTTCCGATACGAAAATCACTCGTTTTCGGACGACCGCCAGCCGCTCTTAGTCAAAGTTTAAGGTGCTCATCTTGACTTGTCGGGAGCACTTCTAATTTTATTCGACGTATGCATTCCATAGAAATGTTCTGGAGCCAGACTACTCAAAGGTTTCAGCGTTTTATGGATTGAAATTGTGAATGCTGTGCCTGAAAAGCTGGGCGGTTGTGTTGTGCAAGTCCTCTTTAGCAAAGCGAGTATGTTTGGGACATATTTTTCAGCCCCCCTCAGAGCTTATCGCGAAATTTTCTGTAGTGGTTATAGACATCACGCCGAAATGAACAAAGCGTTTTAAAGACGTCCCAACAGTGTTGCCAGATAGTCACAACAGAGCCTGTTCCGGTTGTAGATCGGGGGTCGTTCAGCTGTAACGCCCTTCCGGTGCCTAGCTGCCGTGCCACCCGAAGGAATCACGAGGGCTGGGATACTGCCAGGTTGCTCAAGCCTAAACAGGGGAAGTCGAGAGGCAGAGGGGTTCGAACCACGGACCTTCCAATCAGTAAATTCGCACTCTAACCACTTGAGCCATCTCGCTCCCCTCGGTTGTAGATTAGCGGGTTGTCGACCTGTTACGGAGCTCGGCAATTTGCTTGCGGACGTTTTGCACTGATGATGACTTAAAGATTTGTAACGAAACGTCCGCGAACGAAATGCCAGTACTTGCAAGCAGATCAACAGGCGTCTGATCAGCAACGAATGTCACCAAGGGTTTGTTTCTCCGACCGATCAGCTGGACCGATACGCGATATTCACGTGGGTGCGCTTGTAAATGGGCTCTAACTAGGGTATGGGGTTTCCTCTGAGGTTCGTTCTGACTAAACAGTAGTGGGTTCCAGACACAGTCTTCTCGAGGCCCGAATGCCGATGTTATAAGATGAACCAATATGCAGTTTTCTCTTCTGAGTAGGAAAATTCTCACTGATGTTCTTGAGTTCACCAATCGCCCAGGAGGATTGCGTGAAGTGAAACCAACAAGTCAATTTTCCTCTCTTTGGGTACAAACAAGTAGTACTTCAATACGATACATTGTAAGTTAGTTGTGGATCATCAGATCTATTAAGAATAAGGTTCCATACCTTCGGAAAATTAGTGCGCAGCAGCGTTCAAGGGTTGCCGCGTTACACGAAGACAAATTTGGGAACCCAAATGTAAAGACCTACAAGTGTTTACTCAGTATGCCTGTCAAAGACCTCGATTTCTACAGGAGAAAACGATGGAGGTGAGCTGAGCATTTCGGGAGAAAACAGCGCAAACATTGTTATTATATTGGCCAAATTAGCTTGTAATTCCTGTAACTTGAATATCTGCACGTTTGGGACCTCAACGAACCGTAACAAACATTCTAAAGAAATAAAAGCAGTAATATGGCAATATTTTGCGATTTCGCTACTACACAAGTCCCCCATGCAGACAAATTGCCTAGTTCAGCGAACAAACCAACGACCACGAGTACAACCTGGGCTGCCAATATCCTCTTTAATTATTGTTGTCACCTAGATCCACAATCGTGTTCTCCTTACCCGGATACCTGCTGGACTGACTGTTGAATATCATACTTAGGCTACTCTGAACGTTTCTTATCCTGCTATAGAAGTGATGCTCGCCTGCGTCGTCCAGAAGAGACACCATTCATTGTGGAACAGCCGAACTGTCAGATGCAGTTACTTGGGACCTAGGGTGAGATTAGTTTGGGGCAGAAAGAGTACTAGCACTGTGAGCACAGGATGGTATTCACCCATTATCAGTATGTTTTAAGCTGTACCCACTGTCGCGATTTCGTTCCGTCCGGTGGATTCTGTTCAACCATTAGTGCCACTTGAAGCTGCTTCATATTTGACATGTGGTGCACTACTTCAGCCACCATTCTGTGTGAATTAAATTCTTCTGTTTGCCTATTGTTGTGTGGTTTTTCCTGTGGAGTTTGTGCGTAGCTGGTTGACTGCGAAGCTCAATCATCCTCCCCAGAAACTGCAAGGTTAATGTAGAACTGTCATAATATTGTCCCAACCAAGGTGGCTCATCAAGTCTCTTCCAACCGGATCACCTGACTATTCTTTACATTGTTGAATGGGATAAATGGCACAAAAAAGTCCTCACTTCTTCCACAACTATACTGATATAAGGCACTGCCTTCCGTTCAGAAATCTGAGATTAAAGCATTGGTGATTGTGCCGCAGGACCCAGTCGCCGTAAGTATGCGGAGACTAAATGGTCACCTGTTTTTAGTCCCTAGCTGGAGCACAACGGGAGTGTTTGTCCGATCTTTGATCAACAACCAAATTCGTTTGGAAGATACCGCAGTTGGATTCATTAATTAGCCGATTTGCGCAAACCGTTTTACTACATTGGCACAGTTTCATCAGTCTCGTTAAAGGTCATTATGCTATTGTATGCAAGGTTTTGACGACCTCAGTAGTCTTGTTTTACGGATGAATATACTTTTAGTGGTTTTTGGTTTTCTATGTTCTGATGACCGCAGTGTCCAAGGAGTGGACACCAAGAGCTCCTGTCGGGAAAAGATAGGATCTATCATATCGAACTGTATCTATTGCTGTCATTCAATCGTCTTACGTGTCTACAAACAGAGTAATTAGCTATCTGTGCATTCGGTGCATTTCTCAGGTGCGCATAGTGGCTCTTGAATGACAAGGAAATTATGCTTCGCATTCCTTGTTGCACCATGTTCGGTACAGAAATCTTGTGGCATGCTGAGTCGTGGGTGAAGTAGCTGAGGACAACTAGTGGAAGACCATTCTGAGAGCGTGTAACCTCATGACTAACACCGTCTCTTAGTTCCCAAAGTTGGGGGTTTGAACGTCTGTAGCGAGCCCTTCGTTGGAAAGATAATTTGTTGGTAATACCCCTCCCCCCAAACACTGTTGCCTTACCAGGCCTTCAAGCCAAATACTTTGGGTAAGGAATCCAGACTTGACCGCCCCCCTAGAAATCCCTAAATCAAGTACAACCATGGTTCCCACAAGCAAAAATAATCCCCTGTCACAGCCGTCGTCTTGCTCGTTGCATACATCAGGGCCTAAAACAGACTATTGTTGACGCCTTCCTTTCTCTTCCACAGACGTTTTGCTCACGATCTCCCCACTCCGTTAACATTACTCCCTTTGTTGACCAATTTAACTTGCGTCGATCTTAACCTGGACACTTTATCCCCAACCAACGCCGATAGCCTCAGGCATCTCGAAATCAATCATTAATACTCGACACCCGGTCTGTCTGGCTGCTTCTTGCGTTTGCACTCTGAAGCAGGCTGAACAACAACCCTTGCTCTCCCACCGGACTCGTTTGACTTCAATATGCGCTGTGTATCAGAAACAACATTCCAAGGAGCGAGCTTAGTGATCCAGCTTACTGCACCATCACTGTCCACTCGCTTCCGTCTGCACACGTCTAGCTGTGGCCGAATGTGCAGGGGTCCGCATCGTGCTAAGTAGCCGGGCGTAAAAGTCTATGCTTGGCTCCACACCCGCTGATCATTGCCTCTGTGGTGTTCATCTGGCAGTCTGTGAAGGAACCTTACTGTCGAGAAGTTGTTTGCTGTCTGCCTCTCAAGTCGGCTTACTTCCCAACCTACTAGCTCTGACGCCGTTAAAAACGGCAGTTATGGCGTTGAGCTGAAAGCTCACCTATTTGTGTGGTTGCTAGGGGTTTGAATGCATCAGTAGGTAGGCATAGCGCACCTGATATGTGTCTGGGTGGTCGACTCGGTATGTACGTGCAATGGTGAGCGACTGCTTTGGGTATTTGCTGTTTTTTATGAGGTACCAAATTCTAGGATAGCCAGCTAGTCTGGTTATATGGTGCTTTCGAACGTGCCAGTCACGGATCCAAATTGGTCACAGCTATCAGTTACCACTGGCGTGGACGAATAGCGGACTGTCTCTGTTTTCAGAACATTTTTATAGAGCCTGGTTATGCACTATTCTGGAGTCGCCTTTCCGCTTTTAGGGACCTAGTAAAGGATAGACCTGATCCTCATACTCTATTAAGTTCTAGAACAACGCTCACAATTTTGGTAATCCTGGTTTTCCAAGGCACATTTGACTCACTTAACCGGTCTGTTCTCCTCAAGCTGGAGATAGGCATGAACTCACTGACCGGAAGGTCCATGATTCGAATCCAACCTCGGTATCTCGGCTGCTTATGTGTAAGCTTGGGCAGTTTGATAGTCCTGGTGCTTCCTTCGAGTGGGATGGCAGCTAGGAACCAAAAGGGTGTTGCAGCTGAACGATTATTTTAGTTTTTACTTAAGTTTTTTTGTGTTTGCTAAGCAAGCAATGTTCGAGAAGTTGTCTGTATAATAATTTGTGTTCTTAGGCTTCCGGATGCATAAGAGTTTACGGGAGTTCTCTGAAAGCTTCCGTACAAGAAAGTGTCCGACAAGAAACCCCACTCTCCATTAGTATTCGGTTTTGTAATGAACGAAGTAATAAGACGTGCCTTGGAAGGTTTTCAAAACCCTTGTGCTCAACTAGCTGTTGACAAAGACTTTGTCAGGCGTAACCGTTCCCAATATTCGATGAGGATAAGAAGGTGCAGATGTTTTTGGATGAACTAACCAAAATCATCCCGTCCTTGGGCATGAGATTTGCATCCTAAGAGTGTCCCTGGACTTACGGTCGCCTAGCACACCACTTACAATCCAAGCAGATACCTGAAAGTTGCGGAGTGTTGCACATATTTTGAAAATTGTATAAGCTATGGTCGTGGTGTGATAGATGAAGTCAATGCACGAATCTGTAATGTTGGTTTCACGTTTGCTAGTTCGAGACACATAAGGCAGCGAAGCAGCATATTCCTGAATCACAAGGCACGTGTTTATCAGGCTACAGTACCTACTGTCTTGTTGTCCAATTGTGAAACGTGGCCTTTGTGAGCAGCGGAACTGAGACATCTTTAGGTCCTCTATGACTCCTCATAACCATATGTCATGCAAACTGCGGCCAAAAAGTGGACAATTAGGAAGCGAATGTTCAGTTGTGCAACATTAGTACCAAAGGCTATGGTGGTTAGGTCGTGTATTGCGTATGCTGAATCAGTGTTTACCGAAAGTAGTGCTTTTTTCTTGCCAAACTCAGAGCGGCGCGGTCAGAGAGCTAGCCAACCCACCTAGTAAAGGGGTGTGACAGTGATCACAAAGAACCTGGGTGTTGTCGATACGTCTTGCTTTCCAGGAGAGGATCCGCTTGATCTCCACTGCTCATGGCATGACGGTGGTGCTCATGCTGTCAGTTTCTCTTGAAATGATCTGAAAGGATGTGCTTGGGTATAGGCCACTCGGAATGGCTGTAGTAGGTTGATTTCACTAGGTTCCTTCCTCATCCACTTTGATTCTTTGCTTCACAATAAGAATCTCAAATAAACAATGGTCGTACGGCAGTAAATCATCCTTGTTCAACACCCACTTGCTGCTGATGACGCTATGTTTGTGTTTTTTGTGTGCCTCCTTCACTGTTTTCCGGCAATTACTCTCAATTCATCCCATCCTTTGTTCGTTCGTCTGTGATCAAACAGGAATCGACATTCTTCTTGGGATCCCCCGGAGCCAACACTATCGTGCTGCTAGGACATAACATATCGACTGGTTTTCTGTCTTGCAAGCACTTGTTCGCTTTGACTTCCGATACCTGTGGACGAATCTGCGATCCAACCCATGGATGCCCTACGGTGGAAGTCGTGAAAAGACTGTCAATCTGTTCTCAGACTATAAGGTAGGGATTCGGTTATAACTTACCAACAATAAATGTCACACTATCTACATACAGTTTGAGCTGAAGGACGTTTTTGATGGTTTTGAACCACCGTTCTGTCGCAATCTTTGTCAACTCAAGCACCAAAAGTTCTGTTTTGAAAGAGGAAGAACTTTCGGTTATTTGTACTACAAACCTACACTGTGATGTTGGCATACGCTAACCTGTACGACTGGGACTGAGAGTATTCGGTGGCACTTCGTCCACAGTTGCTTGCATAGTATTTCATTTTTACCCCTTGCGGTCTGCAGGTGCGGATCAGAAATCAGCGGTAGGAGTGCAAGCGGAATTTGGTCACTTGGACTTTAACGGGTCGGCTACAAAATTAAAGGTATTACCGAACAGCACTATGTGAAGTTCGATGGTGCGTGTAAGCTTTCAAAATGTTCACCTGTGTTAATTTTGAAGGCAATGTTTTAAGTGAAAGGAAATTTTAACAACTGTGGTTTAAGTCTCAGTTTTAGTCGTCTTTGATTCATTCGGCGAGTACTGCAACTGAGTGGTCACATAGCCGGTGGCTATGTGACTCCATCACCGAGCTGTGGGGC